GGATTCTGTAGAAGAACCACCTTTGGTTCCCTAGGCACCTTCAATATATGTTTTTTTAAATGACCATATCTATAAATGAGATGTGCGAATTCAGCCCTTTTTCACAGCAGCCATAAAATGCAATGTCCGCCTGTTTTGGAGCTCTTTAATTTATTTTCAATTCTTCTTCTTCAGTAACATTGATGGAATATATCGTGGTGGAAATGTATATAAACCAAAAAGTAAGCAAGCTGGATTTTAGTCTTCGTAGGTGAGTGAGCAGCTCAGCGTCTATGAATGTGTTATTGTGTTTAAATGCTGTGTGTTTATTGTGTTTATTGTGTCAGTAATACAGGAAGCTGCAGTTGTATCTGTCTTTGTGGAGAGTGTGAATAGTTTTTCACAGCATAAACTGTAAGTCTCCATTTCCCAAACGCTTTAGCCGAGCGCGCTAACGTTACTCCTCCTAATAAACAGACACACGTTCAGCTCCGTCTCCTCATTATTCACCACCATCACTGTAATATTTCATCATCAACATTAACACACGAAGGTGATCAGAGGGGCGGTGGAGATCGAGTCTGCAGCGTCTGAGATCTTTAAAACGCAGAGTTAGAAAAGAAAATCATCTCACAGTGAAAGCAGCGTTTTACAGTAGAGATAAATGGAGCTCATTATGCTGGTAGTGAACTATGCTGCTGACTCAGCTGCCTAAAAACCATAGAAACGGACCTTAAACAGAAGTGAGGACCCTGTTGGGGTTCATCCTAAAGTTAGGACAGGATTTAGGAGATTTAGTCTAGTTAGGATGTTTGTGTGATGCTGTTTTCTTATCTGGAGTTCATGATGAGATCATGAAGTTAGGAGCTGTTATTCTAGATACTGATACTGTCCTGAATTCAGTCGTCATGGAGACGAAACAGATCAGGTTTCAGAGGTAAGATGTTTCTGTAATACAGGCCCCTGAGCTTTATTTAATTTACATAATTGTACGTTTAAAAATTAAAACATCAAAACTAAATTAATTCCATTTACACTCCATTTATACCTACGATTCATCCCTACACGGGACAGTTTGTTGCTAAACGACACCCAAAGCTGAACTGACTGGACATTCTGGAATTACTTTGAGCAGAACATTGATGAAAGACTGATGACAAGGTTTTTAAAGTTGTTGCAGATGTTCCTGCAGGGTTTTGGTCTGATGCAGTATAGGAAACAAGAAATATGACATCAGCATAATCACTATAAAACATCCTGCTGTCCACTATAAAGGACATTACATAAAGATAAATACTGTGAATAATAATCAAAGTGTAAAAAAGTGTAAAATAAAAGTGTAAAATAATGTTTTTTTTTTAAATCACAGTGACTTATTTTACCTTAATGTTAAAGATGTTAAAGAAAGCTATACTAATTAGTATTGAGAGAATGAGAGTGCTTATAAACCCCCCACACACGTCCAAGCCAGGAGTGCCCAATCCCACCTTAGAGACTCTTCAGACGCCCTGAAGGCCTTCATTACCTGAAACAGGTGGGTTAGATTTCTTTTGGAGCCCAGCTGTGCAGGGGACTAGATCTCCAGGACCAGGACTGGGCCTAGTAGCAGGTCCCGAGCTAATCCACTAACACAATTTTGTAATTTTTCATGGAGCAAACTGGGCGGCAACAGAGGTTCCACGACCTCCACATACTGTATAGGTTCTGATAGAGCTGGGCGATACGGCGAAAATATAATATTGTGATACTAAGATTTTCATGATACACGATGTGTCACAATATTTATTTTTTCAGAAATCTGATCAGTTGGATCAGAGAAAAAAGGAACCAGCAGAGCTACATTAAAAAATACTATCAAAAACTGAACACAGTGATTTTTATTCAGTATTTGTCACTAAATCCAGCTAAACGGGACTAATTTTGCTCTTTATAGTGAAACATGCAGTTGGTCAGTTTCTACAAGTGCTGACGATACACACAATATGATCAGAAAAGCAGACTGAATTGAGTCATAATTCATCACCATAACAATATATTTCACCGTATTGCCCAGCTGTAGGTTCTAAAGCCAATTAAAGGCTTGTTTTTCTTTATTTATTTGTATCATATTGACTGACGTGTTTATTTATTTGATTACTGCCCTGTAAGACTCGCAGCAAAACGCTGCTGTCAAACTGGGGACTTTTTGGGCCAAAGTGCTGTGGAGACCAGTGTTCACCCTCAGCTGACGCTCTGAATTCAGTTCATGCTAATTAGCTGATGAGCTGAATCAGGTGTGCCTAACGAGGAGTCTGCGGAGTTTTGGCCTGCGAGGGCTGGAGTCCGACACACGTGCTCTATAGTTTTAGTGTTAGAGCTTCAGGCCTCAAACAGCACCAACAACCTGAATTTTGTTCTCAAACTCCATCAACTCTCGTCAAAACTCAACGGGCCCCTAAAAAGCTCTGAAGGTTTTAATGCTCGTGATTAAACCTAAATGATTCATCAACCCATTAATGCTCACATTCACTTCCTCATCGCTGTTCTGTGTGTTTACAGCGAGACTTTCAGCCAAGCGGCTCCAAGTCAAGCACAAACAAACACGCTATTTTATTTTTTAGATAAAATATTGAAGAGTTGTCGCCGAGGGACGCTGGATGGAGTGGAGTGGGGGTTCTGACGGGGGGATGGAGGAAGTGGCCGTTTTAATAATGAATGAAAGTGGAGTTAAAACGACAAACCATCACCGGCCCACAGTTTTAGAGCGGGATGAGGGTGACTCCGGGTTTCTTTGTGAAGAAAATAAAAGGGGAAAAGTACGAACAAAATTCAAGATGCTTTCTAATGTTTTATTTGTTTGTATATATTTCTGGTCCGGTTCCACTCATTATCTAGCTCTGAGACAATGCTACCAAGCTGGAAGGGTGAAGGTTAACACGTTCCTCCACCGAGAAGCTCCATTCTTCACAATGGGTTCTTTGACCGATGCCATAGAGGAACGTCTTTGCTAATGCAAATGTCTTTATGAAACACGGTTCTCCAAAGAACCATTCATGAAAAAGTGTTTCTTCTATGGCATCATAAAAAGAAGTTTTATATATTTTCTAACACTTTAATCTTCACGTTTATAGAACAGTAAAAGAGTCTGCTGTTACGTTATATTTGTATCTATTCCGGTTCCAGCTTTAAGTGATTTTTAATTTATTCTAAGGTGAAATAAATGTAGATATAAAATGTGTTAAAATCAGATTTTCACTTTAAAAAAAGGACCTGAAAAAGCTTGTAGTGTTCTACAAGTCTTGAGGACATCCGAGATGAAGATGAACCTGCACCAGAGTGACGGAAAGGAAACTGTGGAAAAATAAAGAAAAGCACTAATGAGCCAAATCACTGGATTTCACTGATTATGGAACTGGACGACTGGTGTTTACTGATGATGGAACTGGATTACTGGACTTTATTGATTATGGAACTGGCTCACTGGTCTTAAGTGGTAATGGAAGTGGATCACTGATCTTTATTGATGATGGAACTGGATCACTGGCCTTTATTGGTGATGGAACTGGATGACTGGTGTTAATTGATAATGGAACTGGATCACTGGCCTTTATTGATGATTAAACTGGATGACTGGTGTTTACTGATGATATAATTGGATCACTGGACTTTACTGATTATAGAACTAAATCACTGGTCTTTACTGATGATGGAACTAAATCACTGGTCTTTACTGAGAATGGAACTGGATCACTGGCCTTAATTGATGATGGAACTGGATCACTGGCCTTAATTGATGATGGAACTGGATCACTGGCCTTTATTGATGATGGAACTAAATCACTGGTCTTTACTGATGATGGAACTGGATCACTGGCCTTTATTGATGATGGAACTGAATGGCTGGTGTTATCTGATAATGGAACTGGATCACTGATCTTTATTGATGATGGAACTGGATCACTGGCCTTTATTGGTGATGGAACTGGATTATCAAATGTCTCAAATCTCAGTTGACAAAGCTTCACATTACAGTGTTTCAGGTCTGAAAAGTGAATATTTACTTTTAAAACAAACTACCAACATGAACCCCATTGTGCACCATTTCACTTACTGAAGATCAGTGAAGGCGAAAAGCCCCTGAATCAACAGGAAACACCTGCATCACAGACCTGGAGGAACATCAGCAGGGAAGCATTCAGAGCTCTGTAGGCCACACTCTTCAGTCATAAACACTGAAGGATATTCAATCAAATACTAAACATTAAAGCTTTATTACAAACTATGTCAATCTGACCCCTGAAAGTTTATGATATCTACAATATTAATATAAATATTCTCAAATTAAAGCTGAACATTCTGTACTTTCACACCTTTTGTTGGCTCTTCTGCATGAGCCAATGATACCAGCTGTCCAGTTACTTCTGGTTCCTCAGAAATGAAGATCTACACATTAAAAGGGCGGCGACTGCTAAATGATTTAAACCCAGTCACTGTTTCTATTCAAACCAACAGTCTTACATATAAAGGTTCCACATGGAACCAAACAGGAACCAGTTTTGTCTCACTCAAGAACCTTTCAATGGACAGTTCTTATAACCCTTTTTTTGAGATGTGTGAATGTGACCCTTTTTAAAATTTAAAGAACTTCAACCTAGGTTCTCTACAAATGAAAGGGTTTTTCCTAGAACCATACAGTCAAGCCTAGAACCATTTAGGAACCTGTGTTTTTAAAGAGCGTAATGTGCTGACGTTTCCAAAAAAGATATCACAAAGAGTTTTTTGAACTATAGAAGAACCACTTTTGGTTCCCTAAAGAGCCATGTTTAAAAGATTTAAAGAACCTTCAAATAACGTAAAGGTTCTATGACAAATTATGGGTTCTTCCTAGAACTTTTACATTATGTGAACCTTTCAATAGTTTAGGGAACCTTGGCTGAATATAAAGTTTAACATAACGCGGCGAAGACTCAAGCCGGCTGAACGTTCCTTTTTGAGCGCTGCTGGTGTTCTAACTCAATAAAAAGACTCGGGTTCTGGATTTGTGGATTTATTTCTTTATATTGGAGCCCAGCATCAAGTTCATCTGCTACAGGTTGGTCAACAAGGCCGAAGACACACGGTAAAGGCAGTTTGTTATTCGTTTTTTTTCTTTCCTCGTTTTTTTCTTTAAACCCGTAAAAACAACCACATCTTTGATAGTTTAGTCTCAGATACAGAGCTGGGAACCTAATCGATTAATTTGTCATGTGATCTATGATGGCATTGATATCCAAATGAGCAATTAGTCTCTTCTTCTTCTTCTTTTTTGTAATTGTTTTGTTTACTGGTGGTTTTTTTGGTCTTTGATCTAGGAATGCATGAATTCAACTATGCTGCCACTCTGTAGTAATATTATAGTAGATCCTCTACAAGCTATAAAAATTCTAGGTAAATAATAAAAAAGAATCTTTGTAAAAAATGAAAAAAAGGAAGAGAAAGGAAAAAATTAACATAAAGCCATCCCATAGGTTAGCTCCATCATCATTTGCATTGAAACATGCAAGGGGTGGGGTGTTCTTCCTTTCGTCTGGTCCGAAATCCACCGGTCAAACCTTCGGCCTGTCCTGCAGAAAGCCTGAACTGAAGCAGCTGTGAAGGACCCTTGGAAGCTCTGATTAAAGGCGAGGATGGTTTACCGAGAAATGTCTCTTGTTTGTATCACAGGCCTCTGTTAAACAACCCAAAATAAACAACCCGTTCACCATACTGACCACATTGTTTACCATGTTTACCATGTTTACCGCACCACGTCGGCTTCTGGCTTCCGAAATCCTCTAAACGTTACAATGCAAAATTCGATTTTGGGCACTTGCGTTCATTTTGTAGAAAATAAAAGGACAAAAAGAGGAATGTTCTTTCTCCAAACAAACATACAAACAAAGCAGCTATGGAATAACAACAGCAACCGAAAAGAGGAAAACAAACAAAGAAAACATTGGTACATAAAACTTGCACACACAGTGGTTCGTTTTTTAAAATTTTTGACGCCAAACATGCTTCGTAAATGGGGTCGTTTTTGTAAACTATTACTCGTCTATCAGCCTCAGAATTGAAATTAAAACTCGTGCAAAAAATTACACTGGCAGCAACATTTCCATTGAGCACATACATGTTTTTTCTCAATGTTTGGTAACACAGTTATCATTTTTGGATATCCGTTGATGTGACTAGGTCGTGTTTCGTAGTTACGCCGTCGTATCCTGCATCTCTAACACGCATTCGTTTGTTTTTTTGGTGGATAATAGCTCGAGTTCAGAGCTCCCAAAGGCCCCTGTGTTAGCCCGTTTGGATTTGTTTGAATTTAGTCGGGAAGTCGTTCTCCTCATCCGGTCGTCCTCTGCTCTTTTCCTCCCGCGAGAGAAACGTCGCTTTCTCTCCGGCGATGGTTTCCGATTTCCCCCCCAGCACCCTGGATCCAGTCCGTAACTATACAAGGGCTTTACAAAAAAGCTAACTTTAAACAGCCATACAATGGCTAAACGTAAACCATATGTCTACCATGAACTGTTAACTCATTACGTTTGTTAGTTTGTTTATTTTTTCCAGTGTGTCGAAGTCATCGTTGGTTTTTTTGAAGTTTTTAGTACTAAAAGTCTTTTATTTAGCAGTGTTAGTCAGGGATGGCAGAGAAGTGAGTGGAAGTGAGTGAGCGTATGTGTATGCACGTGTGCGTGTGAGCGGGCTAGCCGCTGTCGGAGGACGTGTGTGGGGCGGTGGACGGCGACCTCCGTCGGCGGACGGACGAACTCCAGGAGCGCTCGGAGGCCTGCGAGGACGGCCGCGTCAGCGTCAGGCCGTGCTGAATCAGCCCGTCCAGCAGGTGGTGCTGCTGCTGCAGTATGGCTTGGGACAGCAGGCCAGGCAGAGCCTGCAGGCTGGAGGTAATGGAGTCCAGTTTCTCCTCCAGCTGACCAATCCGCTTGTCCAGCTCCTCACTGCGCTCCTGCAGCTCCGACACCAGGTCATACATAACATTCTGCGTCTGCGGAGGAAAAGAATCGGCTCAACTCGTGGGACAAAAATATAACAGTCTCAATTTTCACCATCACGATATTTACTTTTTCTAACATCTGATAAGTGCCACATTTAAAAGAACTACAATAACTGTGTAAAATGTCTTTGTGCTGTAGCATCAACATCACCCTTCAGCTTCAAACTGGTAGCAAAGGGCCCTGAAAAACAGCTTCAGCCCATCATCCCTCCTCAACCAAACTTTACTTCTACTGTTGGCACTATGCGTTCCATTGGATAATGTTCTCCTGGAGCTCCAGAGTCCAGTGGCGGTGCTTTACTCCACTCCAGCCGACGCTTGGCATTGCGCATAGTGATCTTAGGCTTGTGTGCAGCTGCTCAGCCATGGAGACCCATTTAATGAAGATCCTGATGGACAGTTCTTGTGCTGATGTTCAGCTTAAAACTCTTGGAGCAATTTTTATGTGCTTCAGAACCGGCTCTGGGAGTTTGTGTGGTCTAGCGCTTCGTGGCTGAGCTATTGTTGCTCTTAGATGCTTCAATTTCACTACAATAGCACTTACAGTTGTCTGGGGCAGATCTAGCAGGACAAGAATCTCACAAACTGACTCGGGTCAGAGGCGGCATCCAGTGACAGAGCCATGTTTAAAGTCACTGAGTTCTTCAGTGCGACCCTCTAATGCCAGTGTTTGTCTATGGAGTCTGCAAGGCTATGTGCTTGATTTTATACACCTGTTAGCAATGAGTGTGTCTGAAACATCTGAACTCAATCGTTAGCAGGGATGTTCACATTCTTTTGGGTATATAGTGTATTTATATACAGCAATTACCTTACAGCTTTGGACACAACGGTCACAAACACTGCGCACTCACCTTGGCTAGATCGACGAGCGTGTTCGCCTGATCGTTCAGCTTCCTCTGCTCCATCTTCACACTGCGCAGTCTGATGAGAGAAGAAACGCAGGAACAGCAGCCACAGATAGACGGATAGATAGAAAGAGGGGTTGGAGAGAAAGAGGGGTGAGAGGTTAATAAGAGAGTTGAAAGAAGGAAAAAGAAAAGACAGAAGGAGTACAGCAGTTAGAAGGAAGGGTGAGAGAGAAAGAGAGAGAGAGAACAAGGGTAATAGGTAGATAAGGAAAAGGTTTGGGGAGAAAAACAACAAAAAAAAAGTGAAACGTCAGGAACGTTCTCCACCAAAATGATGTGCAAACACATGCAAAACGTTCTCAGGTTAAAAACTGGCCAAATCAGACATGCAAACTCATTCAGCCACAGGAGGCAAAAAAGAGGCCAAACGAGGATGATGAACGAACGTTACGGCATTCAGACGTCCCACAGCGCCCCCTGTCCGCCCGCTGGCTCACACCTCTCGGCGCTCGGCACCTGAGAGCTCGGCCAGTGAGCTGCGCTTCCAGGGGTGAAGGTGAAGGACAGGCAGGGCAGGAGAACTTACCCCACAGTGAAGCGACAGTTTGGTCAAAAATCTAATTTACACTGTTTTACCTCTCTGTTTTACTCCAGGTGTAGCAGATCAGATAAGACATGTTTGGTGTCTGAGTTCTGCTTCTTTAGGAGCTACGAGGCTAATAGCGAACAATAAGGGCGCTTATTAGCAAATTAGCATGGCGCTAACTGCAGGCCTAAATCATCACACACTCACCTCAAAGCGTGTGGAGGTGTTCAGTGTCTCTAATAGTCCTGATTCTGTGGTTTCTGAGTCTGTATGACTCACTGTGATCTATAAACATGAGCTAAAGTACGTTAGCATAGCTAAAACAATAGCGGCAGCCTGAAGCCTTTTCCTGTACTTTGTTTCCATGTTTGTAGAGAACAGCGTGTCAGAAACTACATAATCAAGTCTATTTAAGATCAAACACTGGACATGTTTGGTGTCCAAATTGTACTTTTTTGTGTAGCGCTGGACCCAGTAATGCTAATAATAATAATATCTCCACTCTGCTGTTCAGAGGGCAGCAGTATTTGGTTCTTCAGTGTTCTTTAGTAAAAAATAGCTCTACATAAAACCATGAACACTCCAAGAACCATTTGCATGATTAAATGGTTCTTCAGAATGATGGAGAATGTGTTGTAGATGGTTCTATATGGAATCTTTATGATTCTATATAGCACAAAAATCAATTCTATATTAGAGAACTATTGTTACAATGTCAGGCTTGTACACAAAATAGAAGAACCATTTTTTGGTGCTTTATAGAACCATATACAGCACATTCTTCATCAATCTAAAAAAACATTTCACCAAAGAACCACATCATCATGCAAATCGTTCACTGAGTGTTCACGGTTCTACATAGAACTATTTTCTTCACTAAAGGACCATCTTTTAAAGAGTGTAGAAGTCAACAGTCACCCAAATCTTTTCTGTAAATACATCCCCAAAAACTTCTCATGCTCAGACCTCACGCAGGTCTTCATTAAGGTGGTGCAGATTTGTTGATGTGGTTTAGGACACAGTGTGACTTACTTTGAGTTATACAGCAGTTAGTTCCGACCACGCAAGCTGATTGGTTGAGAAGCGTTCTAACTGTGCTTAAGCCTTTTGAATGTTTTTACTTCTTACTTTACCACAAATAGAAAATGGACACTTTTAAGATCACATTTGACCGACAGCCGATTTGGTCAGACTCTGAAGATGAGACGACACTAAATTCCCAAACTGTCATCACCACTGAGCAGCTTTTCAGTCGGCAGCTGAGACAGAAGAACAGCTGAACAACCTGGAATCAGCCAGAAATGAACCCAACACCATTCGCCAAACTAAATGGGCTGTAAGATGCTTTACAGACTGGCTGGAACAAAACAACATTAATACTGATCTGGAAAAAACTGACAAAACTGAGCTGAACTTGATATTGCGGCAGTTTTATGGCTCAGTCTGATTTGGTCAGACTTTGAAGATCAGACTACACGTTTGGCGAATGGTGTTGGGTTCATTTCTAGCTGATTCCAGGTTGTTCAGCTGTTCTTCTGTCACAGCTGGCGACTGAAAAGCTGCTCAGTGGTGATGACAGTTCGGGAATTTAGTGTAAGGAGCTGGAGAACGAACTGCCGGCAGTGCAGCGAGTGGGCGGAGCTCGTTACTCTGATGTAGCAACAAGCTGCTCGTTAAGGAACTATAAATTGGTGAAGGAACTGCGAACATTAAAACATATTAAACGCCGCGTTCACGGCCCAGTTTATTAATTTATTACTTTATTTTACTGTCAATTCATCATCAGAAACATTGGCAGTGTCAAATATAACTGCACTGGAGGGCAACACCACACGACGTATAAATGAAGAGACGGTCACTGATTAAAACATGAATAGGGACACTCGTAAACATGGTATGTATTTGAGACGAAAGTCCCGCCTTTCAAGAAAAAGAGCCAATCAGCTTGCTGGTTTTGCCGCGAGCGGAGAAGTGTCGAGGATATTGTGGCGTGTTATTGCTTTGGAGATCTGCGCAAGCAGAAAAACAAGTTTTTTGTGTGTTATTAAGCCAAACGCTACAAACTGTTCATGAGGTTTTGTCAGATTTACCAGTGATTTCAAATCTGTAATTAAAACGGTAATTTGACCCTCATTCAGTGAGAGAGCAGTCCGGACTTGTATGGCCGGAAGTAACTGCCCTGCGGTGTTACAAAGATGGCCGCCGAGTAAACAGACTTTCCTATAAGGACTTTGGCGACACGGCGCCTCCCTTCTTTAACGTGCGCCCATATTCCTATGTGACGTGGTACACGAGGAGTCAGATCCTGCAGTGTTCAGCTACACAGTGCAGTTTAGTTCATGTCGATAGCTCAGAGTCACACTGTGTCCTAATCCACATCTACAAGTCTGCACCACTTTAATGAAGACCTGAATGTGGTTTAAGCAGGTCGAGAGGGATTCTGGGTATGTATTTACAGACAGGATTTGGGTGACTATTGACTTCTAGTGTTTGTTAGCAATGTAAGCTACTGAATGCTAAACTAAGAAGCAAAATTTGGAGGCTGATCTGGGGTACATTTGATTTTTACCAAACCCATCCTTTACCAGCTTAACACTGTGATGATTTAAGGCATGCAGCTGGCACATTGCTAACAAGCTAATGCTAAAAACGTTTTTGGTAACAGTTAATAAGGCTACATCATAATTACATAAGCCTTTCAGCCGACATACACCTACAAAAACATTTATAAACAGTCATTTTCCAGTCGTCATAAGGGCTGCTTTCATCAACTTCAGGGTCCAGTGATGGGTTTCAGTTGACATCAGGTGTCGTAATACTGTCGGGGGTGAAATGACACAGCCTGTTTTGACATGACAGGTTTATGTCAGCAGTATAAAAGGTTTATGTAATTGTCATGTAGCCTTATAAACACTGACTTACAGTAAAGTGTTACCATTCATTAGCTGTCAGCTACATTAGCCTCATAGCTCCAGAGCACTAAAGAAGCAGCCCTCAGAGTAAGGAGGGGGCGTGTGTGTGATTTTTGGCCGAGCTGTCGCTTGAAGACGAATCAGAATGGAACGCCTGAATGCAGCTACATCAGTGCTGGACCTGTTGAAAGCTGATCTGCAGAAGCAGCTCCAGCTGCCACTCTCCCCGGATGGCAGTCGGCATGCTAACTGTAAATCACACATGCATGTTTGGTTGGACCTTTTCACCTGACTGAATGCCGACTGAACAATGCAGGGCGGATATGGAAACATGCTTTGGGCTGCTTTGAATTAGACACAAATTAACCCTAAAGGTTAATGACCACCAGCAGGCGGTGTTCGGAAACTCGCTGCCACTCAACACCGAGTCAGCGCTGAGTCAACACTGGTTCGTTTACAATGGGAGTCGGGATGGAAACGCCCGTCACGTCGGACGGAAAGCCACTCTGCTGCCGTTATCATGCAAACAGATGAGCTGATAAGGGGCCCGAATGGAAGCGACACCAGGGTGGGGCCACTGAAGTGCTTGGAAAAGTGCTAGCATTAGCCTAATTTCAATGCCTATTGAGGACAGAAAGTCAACACCAGCCTCAAGGGAGAGAGACAGAGCGAGGCTTTCCTCTGGAGGAAGCAACGAACAAACCCCGGAAAGCTCTGTTAAGAAGGGCAGGGGGTGGGTGGGGTGGGGGGTAGAATTAGCTGGGCCTTAACTAGCTCTTCATGCTTGAAGGTGAGGTGCTACTGTGATTTTTTTCAATGATATTTAAAGGCAATTACACAATCAATTTTCTGAAAGTTATGTAATCAATTTAAAAAAATAAGAAAAATGAGGAGAAAATGTAAAATAAATAAATAAATGAATTTCTGCAAAACAAAACTGTACACATATGGACACAAATAATAATAAATAAATAAAGAAATAAAGAAATGTGGCAATGCATCAATAATAGCACAATTAAAAGTGAATATAAATAATTATGTGACACAAAATAAGTAACATTAAGTTTTCTAAGTGTAAATAAGCTAACAGATCCTCCAGAGAACACAGTTCTGCACAATTTAATGCACAATTAGTTTATTTACTGAATTTAACATACGACGGGGCGGGTGGGGTGGGGTGGGGTGGGGGGTAGAATTAGCTGGGCCTTAACTGGCTCTTCGTGCTTGAAAGCTTAGATAAGAATGTTTTGGGAAAGACGGGGACACGAAAAACTGAGCTAAAGGAGTTCTGAACCCACTTTTAACCCTTAGAAGTCCAGAAGTGCTACTGTGATTTTTTTTTCAATGATATTTAAAGACAATTACAAAATGTATTTTTCTGTGAGTTTTGTAATTAATTAAAAAAAATATGAAAAATGTGGAGAAAATGTAAAAATATTTTTTTTCTGCAAAACAAAACTGTACACATATGGACACGAAGAATAATAAATAAATAAATATACATCAAATGTGGCACTGCATCAATAATAGCACAATTAAAAGTGAACATAAATAATTATGTAAGTAACATTAAGT